GGGAGGGACATTTGTCTGATTTAATCTGTGCTCTGCATGGCTGCTTTATATATTTAGGAGATAGGAGCTGATTCGTAAAATCACGTTGTGGGTTCGTGGGACTTGGGGGTCAGATGACTTAAGTTCGAGGCGTTTCACCTAAGTGTGTCAACAGAGGTATCTTCATAAAACTTTCATATGTAGTTCTTTTGTTGATCACATCCTTCAAATCCTTTCCACTTAGGTTTTACAGAACCTAGATCCTGGGATACAGTCGTACTAATTAGCACCAGAAGAGGTCCTGTGACCCTAAGCTTTTCGGAGTTGAAGAGGCGTGAACTCTGGAAATTTTTTCTTGAGCCCAAATTTCATCCCATTGAAGTTGCTGAACAAATTGCTCCCAACAGGCTGGGAAGAGTCATGCACCCAGCCACCAGCAGCAGCGAGGAAGGGAACACAAGAACAGACTGTAGAAGATAGCTTGTGCCATAATTTCAGTTCCAGAATCAGTAGCTGAGCATTGCATACACCATTTTGTCTCCACAGAGAAGGGCAGACTCGGAATACGGGAGATTTGTTGTTGTTGTTGTTTTTAATCTAAGTATCATTATGTCAAAAATGTCCTCTGGGGCTGTCAGATAAACACACTGGCTGCACAGAGCTGCTAACCTGAGTTCCACCCCTGGAACCCACATTAAAAGGAAAAAAACCAAGTCCACAAGGTTGTTCTCTGACCTCTTTACATTTGAAATGTGGCATGCATGCCCCCCTCTCTTACAAGCATGCACACAGGCACGCTCACACACACACATATGCCCAATTATAATAAAGTTCTTTAAAGGTCTTCTAGTAAATGGCCATGTCCACATTCCCATGTACTAAATACACTCTTTTATAGAGAGTCCTTAATTTTCCCTACAGTTCCCAGACCCCAGCTATAAAACATGAGGCTGTCAAATTATCAGACTGCGATTATATTTTCTCATAGGAAAGTCATTGGTGGGAAGTTTTATTCTTGGCAAAGGACACTGGAAGGTTCCTCCAGGCCAAATCTGGCCTGTAAATGCATTTTCCTTAGCCAAGCCAGTATTAAAAAATTTAAACTGCTGTTAGCATTTTAAAGTCAACAGCTTACGTATTTTTTTTTTAAAGTCTATCTCCAGCATCTTTCCACAAAGATCTGGCAACACCGTGGCCTACTGCATCTGTGCAAACAATAAACAGGCAGTGGAGAGGCCGTCCTCTTTACAAAAGTGTGCCACCCATTTCCTTGGCTACCCTCCCGATCTGGGGCTCTTCTCCCTTTTATGTAACCTGCTGAGCCTCTGCAGGCGTCTGCCCTGTGATCTCTGGACTAGGCAAACCGAAATGTGATCCGCATGATGCAAAGGATCCAAGAATGACACCAGTCAAGTTTCTCAGCTGGACAAGTGGCTGTTTAAAAACCAACAACAAAAACAGCTGAACCCATATCTCATACTCTACGCAGCCAGAAATTCCCAAGATGTCAAAGATTGGCATGTACAAGAAAGGGTTTATGACCTAAGAGAGAAAAAAAAATGACTTTTATATGACACAAAAACCTAGACTGATGCATCTGTTTTTTAAATGCCTGGAGAAAACCCACAAGCCAAGCTAAAAGGCAATAATGATAGGTTAGAAAAAAACACAATTGTTGCAGCAATTTTTTTTTTTTTTTTTTTTTTTTTTTTGAGACAGGGTTTCTCTGTGTAGTTTGGGTGCCTGTCCCTAGCTTTCTCTGTAGACCGGGCTGGCCTCGAATTTACAGAGATCTGCCTGGTTCTGCCTCCCGAGTGCTGGGATTAAAGGCAAGCGCCACTGACAGCAATTCATTTTTTAAGTTAATTTCCCTAATCTATAGATGTGATCCTACAAACTAGTAGGACTAAGCCTCAAGGAGGAAAAAAATGACAAAAAACCAAACCCCAAAACACTGAAAAAGCTATCTCATAGAAAAAGGAAATGTGTATCTCTTAAACATAAATACTAAATTTCATTCCTATTAGGAGAAATATACTGTCACCATTTTTCACCTGTTAGATCAGAAAGCTTAATTATAATGATGGTGAAGATATGAAGAAACAGGAACTCACTGTTTCAAATTCCATCAAGAACAAACTACATGATACCTATCAAAGTTTCAAAGGTACATAACTATTGACCTAGCAAATTCCAGAAATACATTCCAGAGACATACTGGCTTGTATGTAGGTTATCCATTGCAGTGTTATAGTTACACACACACACACACACACACACACACACACACACACACACACACACAATTTTACATAACACTAGGAATATGGTATTGCTTTAATAAATGGTAGCAAGTCAATATAATAAGGTTATTTATTTTAAAGATTTATTTTTATTGTGTGTATGAGTGTTTTGCGTTCAAATATGTATGTATGTGCTAGCCTGATGCCCACAGAGGTCTCAAAAGGACTTTGAATTCCCTGGAAATAGAATTAAGGATGGTTGTGAGCCACCATGTGGGTGCGGGGAACCAAACCAGAGTCCTCTGCAAGAGCAGTAAGCATTCTTTTTCGATTGTTTTTTCAAGACAAGGTTTCTTTGTGTAGCCCTGGCTGTCCAGGAACTTGTTCTACAGCCCAGGCTGGCCTGGAACTCACAGAGATCTGCCTGTCTCTGCCTCCTGAGTGCTGGGTTAAAAGTGTGCACCACTACTGCTGGGCACAGTAAGCACTCTTAACCTCAACAACTGAGTAGGTTGCTCCAGCCTCCCAACATAAGGTTTTTAAAACAAACAAATAATAACAAAAAAAAAAACCCAAAAAAACAAAAACAGGCTTCTCTAAAACGTTCTCCAAGATACGCTTCAAAGTAAAAACACAGTAATATGCAGACTGATATAACTTGTATTTTTTTAAGTAGGTGGTATATTATGTATGTAAATATAATGCCTACAAGGCAACACAGGATTCTTTGTTACCAGAAGGATGAAAACCAGGTGGCTGGAACAGAGGGAGAATTTTCACTTAGAACTTTCATAGCATTTGCATTTTCATCCTCAGGAGTGTGTCATTTAATCAAAACATTAACTCATCTTTTAGGCATTCCTTTAGTTAGTCTGTGTGAGAAAGCCTGCACTTGGCCTGTGTGTGTGTACAGAGGATAACTCATAAGAGTCAGTTCTTTCCTTCCAGCCCATGAGGTCAAGGGATCAAACTCAAGTTGTCAGCCTTTCCTCCAGCCCCAATTAAGTCATTTTTAATGAACAATCTTTAGTCAGAACATAAACTTTTGCTTCAAGTATCAAAACGGAAAATATTAAAATATATACTATAAAAAGGGTATCTATATATGGAACAAAAATCTCAAATTTAAAGGCACTAATTACATATTATTGATTTTGTCTGTGCTTTTAAAATTTTCCAAAAAAAAATGGGATTTTAGAAAATAACTTGAATGTCTCAAGAACATTTTTCATTTAAAAAGATAGTTCAATATTTTTACTACTAATATTCTCCCACAGAAAAAAATTTTCAAGGATTTATTTGACATTTCTCCCATCTACTATTTCATACACCCTCAATTCACTTCAAGTTCCAAGTGCTGTCAGTCTGTAGCAAGCCAAAGCGACACCACAGGAAATCCTAAATGTTGTTGTTGTTCACTTTCAGGCTCCCTGACACAGCTTTAGTCCACTTACAGCCACCTGTCTGAAAGAGGTCGGATATAGCTCAGAGAGAAAGCATCCTTGCCCCAGGACCCTCACTGGATGCTCAGGCTTGTCAATCACACCCCCCTGCAAGAGACTGATGTCAAAAAATGTCTTCCCAACAGCAACTATAATGTACCTTTTAGTTAATTAAAATATAATGATTTCAATTTTCCCTCCTTCCAATTCCTCCCAGACGCCTCATTCCCTTTCAAATTCACAGCCTTTTGTTCTTTAATTATTTTTACATGTACGTGATTGGATAATCATTTAAGGGGGCACCTATGATTTTCAATGAAATTCTAAGGGATTGATCGATTGTATGCCTTCTACTCCCAAGCCCCTAAAAAGAAAAGAAAAGCAATCTCTTATGTGTCAGTGTGCTGCATACAGACTGTTCTTAAACAGATAGAATGGTCCAGCTGCTCTGGGGATGACACTGAGGTTAGGACATCATCTAAATATTGCTACTTCTACAAGATGAGAAATCATGTTTTATATGTTGCTGTCCCCAGAACCAACTCCTACCACAAAGATAGGAAGGAAAGATATCATTTCAGCTCTTGTTGTTTCTATTAATTCAATAAAATATTTTCAAGTCCTGTCAGTTATTAAGTTAAGCTATGGACAACAATGAATTCATCATCCACTCTGTATAGATCCGAACCAGAGACCTGGCAACAATCATATATGTACATGGTCCCTGATTCCCAAATAAGGAACTCAGTAAAGGGAAAATAAAAACATTTGTTTGCCCCCTCAAATATTAGTAATTTGCATGATTTTAATTACTAGGTGTAATAAATATAGATATCAAAAGACACCTTTTATATTCTCAGTGGACAAATTTAAGCAAAATGAAATCAAGAGGGCACGGGGGAAAAACAACATCACTACAGCCCTCTTACTTGTCCCGTCACTGTTCCAGAGCACCAGCGTTAAGAGAGGTCATCTTAAAGATAATCAGAGACATGTAAAACGTGGCTGAAAGTCAAAGTTTTCTACCCAGAGATCTATTTTCTTTTTTTGAGACTAGGTCTCACTATACAGCTCCAGCTGGCCTAGAACTCAGAAATCCACCAACTTCTGCCTCTGCTGGGATTACAGGTAGACACCTCTTAGCACTGCCCCTCAGCTCTTCTGCTGAATTAAAGGGACTCCCCCTGAGCAGTTCAGGCATACCATTACATCCCTCTCACCACCTCTAAAGGGCAAAAATCCTCATTTTATCCACAAAACAAAAGGAATCTTAATATAGGATAGCTTTGAACGTGAGCGCCTGCGTATAACGGACGGTAGCACTCAGCAAAGAGAACAAGGCTCTTTGCAAGACTGGAAGGAAGTAGAGTCTGTTGGTATCACGACTGTTTTTCCTTTCAGGCCGTCTGGGTCTTTGTTCCCATTCTAACTTTTCAGGGGCTACAAACCATTTGAAAACATTCCTAGGCATCTTTTTCCTTCCCTTTCGCCTTATATGTTAGAAAAACTAAGTGGTCGAGTGAGATGGCTCCCTGGGTAAAGGAGCTTGCCAAGCCTGAGTTCAACCCCGAGACACTGTATGAAAACGCAGGGAACAGCCTGATTCCACAGAGGTCCTACAAACTCCATATTCATTACATGGCATGACCACTCACCCATGCAAACCCAGTAATAAAAAATTAAAAATCCAGTAACTGACTTCACAATTGCTCCTCCAAAATGCTTACATTTAGGTAATAAATATACTCAGAAATATGAGAAAACATCTGACCAGAGAAAGGCCCAAGACCAAAGCCAGACCTCAAGCAGCACACACACACCATACCACCTGGTTCACGAGTGCGGGAAGAGCTCACTGTCGCAGCCATTGGGGTTGGAGAGCTTTCAGTGAAGGCCCAACAGACTTCCACATGCCGGGGGCTGGCATCTTTTGAAGAAAGTTGTACGAGCTGAGGTTATACTATAGGCTAGCAGGCAGATCTCCAAATGGCCTCAGGAAAAGTGGAATTCTGCCAACAGTGATGGCACCACTCCAACAATGCAAAGGCAGGAGGATCATGGGAAGGACTTTGATCCACACATAAATGTGTGGATAAAAGAGTTGTTACATAACACACAACACTAAAAATGTACATAAGAGTCCCCCACAGACTAAGCACTCTAAAGCTAAATATATAAGATGCTTCACTTGGTCAGCCCCAAATATAAACTTCTATACCTCAATTTTATATTATTCACAAGTACAGGAGCAATTTTGTTATTGTTTTGAGGCAAGAATCTCACTACACAGCCCAAGCGAGCCTTGAATTTGTGATCCTCTTTCCTCAGCCTCCTGAGCACTGTCACAGGTATGCACTATTAGACCCAGCTTCCGGAGGGGTTTTAAAGACTTATCTACACTTATGACAGTTTACCTAATAGAGGGCTGCTGTGTGACAAAACTTCTCCTGCGGAGATGCGACACACAGGTCTGCTCACTCCAGATACGGAACCCACCACAGATCAAAGTTCGGATCCTACCAAGTCCGACTTGGCAAACCAATGAGTTTGATTTGGGGTCACTTACAGGAATATGAGTGAGGAGTTGCTTACACGATCAGAAGTGACTCAAGACGGCTGCACCTCTGAGGCCTTACCCCAGCATGGGTGGCAGCTCACAAAAGCTGGGAACCTAGAGCACACTGCACAGCCTGACCGCAGCTGACAGACTGAAGGGTGTTCCTCTCAAGTAACTCAGTCAACTCTGCAGGCAGCTTGTCTGGGCTTAACTCTCTCTTTTCTTGGCAGCTCAGCTTTCTTCCCCCTGAGATGGACTCTGCTTTTACAGCCTAGTGTGGAAGAGTGGGGCGGAGCAAATCTAGTCAGTTTCAGGAACTTCCTTAAGCCACTTGAAGTTATTTACCTTCTTGAATAAGCAACTTCCCTGCAGGATGAAATGTTACAATCTCAGAAGTGTTATGCAACAAAGGTATCCATTTCAGTAAACTTTTTTTTTTAGTTTTGGTTTGGTTTTTGAGACAGTGTTTCAAAAGTGTTTGAAGCCTTGGCTGTCCTGGAACTTACTCTGCAGACGAGGCTGACCTCGAATTCACAGAAATCTGCCTGCCTTTGCCTCCTGAGTGCTGGGATTAAAGGCGTGCACCACCGCTGCTTGGCAACTTTTTTTAAAGTATCTTTTAAATTTATTTATTTGTTTTTATTATGTGCATTGATGTATTGTTGGAGAATATTATTTTATGGTGTGTTACTTTTGTTTATGTTGCATTTAACTCTGTGAAGCTGTGTTACTGTGCCTGTCTAGAACACCTGATATGGTCTAATAAGAACTGAACGGCCAATATCAAGGCAGGAGAAAGGATAGGTGGGGCTGGCAGGCATCGAGACTATACAGGAGAAATCTGGGAGGAATAAGAAGGAACCAGAGAAGGAGGAGGACTCCAGGAGCCAGCCACCCAGCTAAACAGCCAGACAGGGAGTAAGAAGGAAAGAAAAAGTATACAGGAATAGAGAAAGATAAAAGCTCTGAGTCCAAAGATAGACAGGACAATTTAAAGTTAAGGAAAGCTAGCTAGAAACAAGCCAAGCTAAGGCTGGCCATTTATAATTAAGACTAAGCTTCCACGTGATTTATTTGGGAGCTGGATGGCGGGCCCCACCAAAAGACCAAGGACCAACCAACAACAGTGTATTGTCTGCATATGTCTGTGGACCACATGCATGAGTTACAGACAGTTGTGAGCTGCCATGTGAGTGCTGGAAATTGAACTTGGGTCCTCTGGAAGAGCAGTCAGTGTTGTCAATCACTAAGCCATCACTCCAGCTCCTCAGTAAATGTTTTAATGGAAGTAAAACATGATCATAACACCAAGGTTCATTAAAATATTTTAATACTAATATACATTTTTCTTTTCTCAGAAAGACACAAAATTCTTATATATCAGTATTTAACAAAAAAATCCTATTGACATAAATATCAAATATTTCACAAATGGAATAACATATTTTTCAACAAAATTTTCTCTATTATTTTGGAGCATACAATACAGACCCAAATGGAATAAGGACTGCTTCAATCCTGACAGTTATTTTTGTAAATTTCGTCATTCACAGTTTAATGCGTATACGTAAGATCTCAGATCTGATGAAATAGAACCACTGCACACTTCCCTCACCACATCTAAAAGGAAAATATCCTCATTCACAAAGGAAAATAATCTTAACGTAGTGTTTGTATCACTCAGAAGCCTTAGACAGAGTACTCTGTGCAGTGCATTTCTTGTAGGAATCTATTGTTATGGAGAACCATTAGGGTTTGTTTCCTCTGTATATGATTTCTGGATGTTTCAATATGCCCACCCCAAGTGTTGGAAAAACTGCCTCATCTATTTACCTGGGATGCACTGCCTCTCGTACTGTAGATCAGAATATGTATCCTTTCAAATTAATGGATGAGATAGCTTAGTAAATGTAATCACCAAGGGCTGAGGGGAAGAAAAAGAAAATACAAGAGAAGGTTTTCCTATCAGCATGCACATCCTTCTCAGGTATCCATCACAGTGTTGGTGAGGAAAATGCAAGATTAACCCTGAGAGAACACATGTGAGAGAAGGGATGAAGTGTCTCACTTAAGTGCTGGCTCTGTTCCCAAGGCTGAGTTGCCAGTTTTTCACTTACAATTCTATTTTCCAACTTTCTGAATCATAAGACACATTTCATTAGCTAAAACACACACACATATATACAGTATACAATATGACAAACACACACACACATACAGTATACAATATGGCACACACACACACACACACTATTCAGTATGGCACTTGACACCAACTCAACATGTTCATGAAGTACATACAAAGAATGTAAGGCACTTTCGCGGTTTACAAAAGTGAATGCCTCCAAGTTAGATATTAACCAAAAATGGAGAAATGGCCTCACAAAGTTTATAGGAATTCTGCAAACCCAGATAGGTATGAATCATCAGTGATCCTGGCCAACATCTTGGGAACCTCAGTGTGACCAAAGGACAGAGGCGTGAAATAAATAATTGGTTAAAACTACACAGTGCTACACCCAGCGTCAGGATTTAAACTGCTCTTAGAAAAAGCATAGTCCTCTTAGGGACTTCCATTTCTCGGCCATGGGAACTGGCGTGCAGGCAGCAAGCACACGGTACACTGCTGTTCAGATGGAGTGACGATGCCACATGTTAAAGACACTTACAAAGAGACTGACACTGAAGACTGAGTTTGTTTTGTGCTACTTAGAAATGTGAAATTTCATGTATTTTTTTTTTAAATCAAGCATTTTCAGTTTCCACATAAAAACATCGCTAAATAAATGCAAGCTTTCCTGACTCTTCAGATGAAAAGAATGTCACACCCTACAGTATATTGTGACATATTTTTTTCCAGGAAAGAAAAAAAAAATTATAAAGCCAAACACTGATTTAGGGAACAGTCCACTTTTATGCCGACTTCCCAAACATTCTATAGGAGCCCTTCCTATATCACAGTGGGCTGGGTAAATCTCTAACAAACTCGGGGTTTCAGAACAGGCATAGAGAACACGTCACTTCTGTGCTCATAAGAATTTTTTAAAAATTATATCTGTTACCTCCTATTAATAAGTCAGTGGTTATTTTAGCCTAAAAAGTATGGTTTTACAATAAATTTCTTAAATTACAATTTAAAAATACAACTGGTACATCCTCGTTGCTTGTGTAGGGAATATGATGCAGCTCCCTTCATTGTTCATAACTTAAATCTCTGCTGTACTTCATCTGCTATCATTCTGGAAATCGCCAGGGAAGAGGTGGCGGCAGGGGAAGGCGCATTTCTCACGTGAAGAACATGATTTCCAATATCCCCAGCTCCTCCATCAAACACAAAATCGTCTATCAAATTTCCATCTCTGTCCATGGCCTGGGCTCGTACTCCAGCTGGACCTCTGCAGAAGCAAAAACAAAGTGTTAATCATGGGAGCCAGAGAGACAGGACAGTCTACGAGGTTTCAGAATATTCTTAAGGCAGTAAGATCTTTATTTGAAATGCAGTTATATGGAAATCCACTTGCTTTATGTTCAGCAAAGGGCTGTGGGAGATACTCTGGCCAATGCATGTCCTTAGCTACAGCTGAATGACTGTTAAGTAACAGTGTAATAAATACTACCAAGTAGGGGCTGGAGAGATGGCTCAGTGGTTAAGAGCACTATCTGCTCTTCCAGAGGACCGGGTCATGGCAGCTCACGACTGTCTGTAACTCCTATTCCAGGGGATCCAACACCCTCACACAGACATACATACAGGCAAAACATCAATGTACATAAAATACAAATAAATAAGCAATTTTTAAAAAGACTATCAAACATCCAAGTAAATATTACTTATAAATATCTGTTCTTTTCTAAAGGAGCAGGCCAATTCACATTCAATTAGAATAGACATTTTTTAAATTTAAAGTCATAAAATAAATTTATTCTAGAAATCAGTCAATGGCAATCATAGAAATCAGTGGTAGCAGCCAAGACCTTTTATATATCAGTGGAAGTAGGAGCTGGTTCCAGCTACATAAATACTCCATCTAGTCTATTGTTCTTTTGTATTTCGTTTTGATAAAGTATTATAATTTATAAAGAAAATAATACATCCTAATTGTGATTTTTAAAAATTTTCTTAATAGTTTAACCTCCAATGTAAGGAAAACCTTCAATTAATTAAAAATAAATAGCAAGCATAAAGACAAATTAATTCAGCAACATGTTAATATTGTAGCAAGTCAACTTATCAAGTTCTGCTTTTTGTTTTGTTTTCTTTGAGGCAGGGTCTTACTTTGTAGTCCTGGATGCCCTGGAGCTCACTATGTAGTCCAGGTTAGCCTCAAATGCAGAGATCAGCTAGCCTCTGTCTCCGAGTGCTAGGATTAAAGGCGTGAGTCACTACACCTGGCTCTATGTTCCTTTGTAATTAATGTTTTTTTTTTTTTTTAAGATAGGGTCTCATGTAGCCCAGGCTGCTCTTGAATTCCATCCATGTGTAGCCAACGATGACCTTGAACCTTTCTAGATTCACTTTTAAAAATTTTACTTGTATTGGGGTAGCTTCATTTTAAGAGGAGGTGAAGATGCCCCGGGGTAACTGAATTGTTCCTGCCCCATGCTGGGCAGAGGAGGGACCCTGAACACAGGCCAGGGACACTTTTTCCTCAAGACAAAGGTTTATCTGCTCGGGCTGCTCAGTGCCCGATCTTGAACACTTGCTTGCAGACCACACCCGGGCTTTCTCATCTCCATGATCCACTGGGTCCAGCCACGCCCCTCCTTCTCATCCTTCTGCACACACTGGAGCTTGTCCCCATCCCAGCTCACTATGGGCATGCACTTGAAGTCATCTGTGCCTGTCAGATCCTCCTCAAACTCCTTCCCAACCTGGAAGTCCATGATGTAGTCCTGAAAGCTGCTCAGTGTTTGGTTGCCTTCCTGTATGATCTTTGTCTGGCTTTGGTAAACTGGCAATTTTCTAGAAGGCCACGCTGACATGGAGCCCACACAGGTATTCCTTGAAATTCTCATTGCTCAGCATCTCCCAGTACCCACTGAAGACCACAGACATTTTGGGGACTGACTAAGGATGGTCATGGTCAGCCACAGAGAGCAGGAGCACCTCGAATTTGCTGATCCTAGTCTAGATAACCTGAGTGCTGGGACTATAGATATGTACCACCACGTCCAGTTTATCCCCAGCCAAGAGTCTGTTTTGTAACAGAGGAAGATTTTTAGATATAGATTTCTGCTGTTCTATAAAAAAAGTCAAAATTTACAGATGAAGTTTGAATTAAATGCTTTTAGAATCCAAAACCATCTCCTTTGAAAGTGTTCACTTTCAAAGCAAATTGAGAAAAAAACATCTATCTGTGCACTATCAAGACACAAGAAGTCAGGCAATCATGAACAGGTTTTATTGATTCTCAGCTCAGATAACAACCTGAGGATACAAAGAACAGCATGATAACACTGTCCTAGAACTCAGCCTGCCTGCACAAGGGTAAGGACAAAATGAGTCACTATCGACCAAGAGCTTAGCGTGTGCCCGAGACCATCTCATTTACCTTTTCAACTACTCTGAGAGGCTGGTGGAGTATGTGTGTAACCTCAAAGAAACAAAGAGATCAAGTAGCTTGCCTGAAGCATTCAGGGACACTGTTCACAGAGCTAAATAAGAATTACAAGGGTGAGAAACTGTATGATAAAGGTAAATGATGAGCTCTAGGGAATCAAGTTTGGGGTTGGAAGAATTTCCAGGTGAGCATCTGATACGGCAATCGGCACACCAAAAGGATGGCACCAAAATGACCATTTCAGAGGACAGAGATGCACGTCAGTGTGGGCCCCTTCTCTGTACTTCACAGCTCATCTGCCTCACCAGCAGCCCTCCTTGATTTCCTCAGCAAAGAGTGCTGTTGCTGGTTAAAGCACCCTGGGTTCCTGTCACCCTGTCCCATGTCTTCCAGAGGACAGCCACTGGTGTGCAGCGCTCTGTGTAAAGTTACTTTGCTCCGTACATGTTTCAAACTGTATGTTCCTCTTTTCCACTAAGTATGCTGGAGTTAATACTGATTAACCACAGCAAAGGATGTATCTACAGTTGTTTCTCACACAAAGACAAATTTTCCCTCAATACCTTTTGCCTAGGTCTTCAAAATCTATAACTCAAACTAAAAATGAAACGCTATCTTTTTCTTTCTTCCTGTAGCTCAAACTAGCATGAGATGTCTAAACTACCAAACTCTTCCTGTTTTGTTTTCAGTGCCTTCGGGAGCTCCATGGTTCTCCCCACAGGGCTGTATAATTTGAAACCTTAGGTAAGATAAACCAAAAATGCCCTGAGGGTAGAGAATGTCTTGTACAACACCTAGTTCATCCCCATGCCTAGGTTCATGTGTTGCAGATCACAGGCCTTCATTCAACAAGGCTACACACTATATTCCTCTAATTCTTTTAACTTTTAACAATTTTTTAAGAACTAAAAGGATGATTTAACAAATAAATAACTATGAATTATATTTAATATAGTGCTTGCTATTTGTAGCTAAATACAATGGCAAGGTACATCCTAGATAGTAAAATATGCAGCAACAAGAGCAGCTGAATCTATCATTATGCATATTCTTCCATCTGAGACATCCTGCCCTGCATTATTGTCACATGGCAGATACACTGTGTGGGGGGGGGGGGGGGGTACGAAGAGCTGTGACTGGCATCTTGGGCTAGTCCTGCATAGGCTAGCTCATCATGGGATCTACCGCCAATCTCAATCTGTAGTACCGTATGAACACATGTCACTCAGAGGTGCTGCTATGGAGAAGGTAAACAATTCCAGCCTATTTTCTAGACATGAGGGAGCAGTGACTTTCCTATTGGATCATGGGAGAATATGGTTTTTATCTAGGCTCATCTTATCTTCTGGCAGGCGCTAGGATGGAATCCTGTGCCCTGTGTGTACTGGAAAGAGCTCTGCTACTCTACGCATAGGGCAGCCCTATAAGCCTAGAACATGAGATCCTATAAATGTCCTGTGAAAGACTAATATACCGGCATTCTGTAACAGGCAGAAGCAGCCTCACTAGTTGTTAAGGGCCTAATTCTGTAACTTATCTACTGACTCTCACCTGGTTATGAGTCTCAGCGGCACCCTAGCTGAGGGAATCCTGTGGGTCTGAGTGTGTCTAGGCGAGTCCCTCTGTACAGGTTTGCGTTTGTCAGGTGTTCTCAGGGGAACTTTTTTTTTAATGTAATTTATGAATTACCATTACCATTTTGTATGATAAATGTTTCAACAATTATACAAACATAACCATTCTTGTTTTTATCTATACCCTGACCCAACATCACCTTTTTCCAATGGATTTAAGGCATACCCCTGCGGGCATACCATTTGACGTCAATGTGTATGCAAACTACGCTTATTAATAAAGTAGTACATGCTTAGTATTGACAATATTCAGCCCGTATCAATCAAACTGGCTTCAAGTTTTTACTCTCTAATTTACAGACAGAGGGACAGGGAGAGAGAGTGGGGAAGGGGGAAGCTGACTGAGTTTCAAGCTGGATCAAACATATCTGGGTTCTCGTTTATAAATTAACTTCTGTGTTTATGTCCTTACACTTTTAAATTCTCACACTCTCACATCCTAATTCCCAAGGCCGGACAGACAAAATTCCTTAATACATTTTGGTACCTAGGGAGATATTTTTTAACTAAGAGACCCTCAGTTTTGAGGCATGGTGGCTCATGCCTTAAATCCCAGCACTTGGGAGGCAGCGGCAGGCAGATCTCTGTGAATTCAAAGGTCTACATATGGTTCCAGGCTAGACAGGGTTTATCTCAAAAATTAAAAATAAATAAATAAAATAAAAGGCCTTCCTTAGGTTCAACTTTCTATTTACATTGATCAAAAGCCCCCTTTCTACTCCCTGGGGGGAAATTAAAATATAAGTTCCTAATGCTCTATTACCTTGTTTTGTGGGATGGATATACACAACTTCCAAACTTCACAGAGCACTTACTAACTGCCCATTTCACTGCATGTGAACCATACATCAATTAAAAAACACAACCCAAAGAGAAGGATGTAAGGCAGGGAGAAGGACTGCGGAACACCATCTCCTGAGCACAGCACCGCCAATGCAATCACAGCTCACTGCAACTGTGGTTGCCTATACTGGGTCTGTGCAAGAATAGGCCTGTTAATGGTCAGGCATAGGAGGACCCAAGGGGGCCGACTCCTCTCTGCTGAACTAGTGGTTACTGTAACTCTGGGAGGGGTCACTGCTTTCGGTTGTGTGCGAGCCCACAAGGCTCCAACGAAGAGTTCCAAAACAATTTCACACCGTCACATCTGATTAAGCGCAGTAAGTCACAAAGCAACAGAAACCATGAATCTGGGACGGGGCCGATAGGAATGGAAGAGAGGAAAAAAGGCTGAGGAAGAAGGTAATCCAAACACATTCTATGCATGTATGAAATTGTAAAAGATTGAACTAAATTAAAAAAAGGGAAAGAACATCTGTAACCCAAGCCTCTCACTCATTAAAATCTTTCCTACTGCTCTAGGGCAGCATCAGTACCAACTCCTCTTGGCAAATGGGTTTTCAATTTCTCCTGTTTTGTGTATATGAAAATATCCCCTGCTTTCCCTCAGAACCGGCTATATATATGTCAAAGACGCTTCTTATATTTTCTCTTTGAATTTCGTAGTGTGGCAGTTACCTAATTCTCTAGACTAGTGGTTCTCAACCAAGGGAAATTCTGCCCCCTAGAGGATACTGGCAATAAATAGACATTTTGGATCATTACAAATGCTAGGGGTGCTAAATGGGCCTCACAGTAGAGAACTATCTAGTACAAAAGGTCAACAGTACCAAAGTTACAGAAGTGTCTTGCACTGCATTTTATAATGGCATAATACAGTTTTCATTCTGGAAATTTACTTTTGAATTCCCTAATAACACATCTAACAAAATGAAATGTGGGAAAAAGGAAATCATTGCACATATGACTTCATCTTTTTACATCCTTACAGTGTTGAGAAACTACAGTAGCATTAACATGGAGGCACCGTATTTATCAGAAACTATCTTAAGGAGCTTAGAGCTAATAGTAAGAGCCTTGGTGACAAATCACTTAACAATACGTTTGTACACCTTATGTATATATCTAACAAATAATAACTCCACATTCCAGTCTAATGTATTACAGTAAATTGTTACCCACAATGCCTTGCTAAGCACTAAGAACCAAGATGAATGTCCTTCAGTAGCTACTGATATTTAAGGGCACAATTTCAGAGTCGCACAACCTACCAAGTGTGGCTTCCATTAGCTTGGTGTTCCTTTGCAGTGCTGGGGATCCAACTCAGGTGATCATATATGTATGCTGCTCATGCATGCATGCTCTGTCACCTTTCACTGTCTAACACTGCTTACATGCTTTTGACACACTACTAACAGGACATTTATGGTTTGAATACAATGGGTTGCATGACAAATAAGGCAAGGCAGACTGAGACTTCAAGCTGTGAAAACTACTAATGATCACTCTTATTATTTAATATTTCAGGCATGTATGCAGAAGTAAGTCACCAGAGATAAGGTAGAGGTTCATGTGGTATTCATAGATCCTAATCTTCCCTCCCTAGACGCAGCCACTCTCCTGAATCAGGTACTTATTAGTTCTATGATTGCTTTTTATTTATGGTGTTCCATAAAAAATATGTAATATACTTGTTTTTCAACTCATGCAAATGATATCAAATACATCTTCCTTGTGTTTAGTAAATTCATGAGTTTAATGGCTAGAGGAACCAGAATCAATCAAGAGAAAGAATGCACAGGATTACTAAATATATTCAGCATCTCTGTCTCTACAGAGGAACTCATCTGTGATTGAGCTGACTGTCCCCACATGCACCTGCAAATGGGTTGGCCTCAGGCTTCTATAAAAGGGTGGTAATTGAATATGGGAAGTGAATTCACTACCACAGTTTCAATACAGAATCCCAGATGCCCATCCAACCAAGAGTATTGGCGGCAGTAATAGAAACCTGATTTAACCAGTGTGTTTTCAGATATAAGACATTATAAGTCTGCAACTGCAAACCACTGAGAACATAAAAGCCTTTGTTTGTAAGTGAGCACAAGAAAATAAAGCCTGGATATTTTTTTTAAGCCTCGATATTTTTATCCCTTCCATTTCAGAAGGTGAGTAGAAGAGATATTAAAGAAATCATGAACTGGGTTTTAATAGTTCGTCTAAAGAGTCAAGGAGAATGGTCTCAGAAGGATACATTAGAGACAGGTTTACAACAGGAAGGTCTCCCCCACCCCAAGGGGAACAGCTGACATGACTGTTCCTCTTTTCAGATACACAGTCAAGCTCACTGACATGTCACACCAGGCCAGTTCCAGCAGCTGCTCAGAGAAAGTAGACACTTGGTGCTCTGGAGCGTCATGGAGGGCTATATCATAATACAGTATGAATACCTCAAAGGACACTGTTGATTAGGCCTAACAACTGGCATGGACACTAAAAATATCACCAAAGAGGAAAAATACATGGGCTTGGATGATATTCAAGCTCTACACATCAAGTCCAGAAACTCTTTAATTCTAAGGAAAACAAAAACAAAAACTTTTCCTGACACCTCTGCAGCAAGAACTTAGATTGATTACTGCCACACTCCTCCCACTTCTGCCCTATAAACAGAGTTGGACCTGAAAAGAAGTAGAGGGCGCTGGTAAGATCACTGCCTAAGAGTTCTTAACCTGAATTTGATTCCCAGCGCCCCCTATGGGCAACTCACAACCACCTGCAACTCCAGTTCCATGGGATCCAATGCCTCTGGCGTCCTCAGGCACCTGCACTTGTGCACATACCCCACCCTCACCCCCACACAATTAAAAATAAATCTTTTTTTCAAGTAGAGAAGAATACCAAGAAGCACGTGTCTAAAGATTTTTAAGAGTCGATCCAGTCGGCACACACCTTTAATCCCGGAACTCAGGAGGCAAAGGAGGCAGATCTCTGTGAGTTCGAGGCCAGCCTGGTCTACAAAGAGTTCCAAGACAGCCAGAGCTACATAGAGAGACCCTGTCTCAAAACAATAACAACAACGAACAGAGGGGTAGATCATTGTAAAGACCCAGCTCTAAGGGCTGTGATACAGTAATGCAAAAGGGATTCAAGCCTCTTGGGGAAAGAGAGCAAAGATTCAGAAGATGTGCTGCCTGAAAGAGAACCATCGCCAGTCAGACCTGCCTCCCGAGTTTACCGTCCTCACCACGTTTCCTTACCGAAGCACATCGTTGGTGGTGATTTCAGGGATGAACTTCTGAAGATGCTTCACTGTTTCACTGAGGAAAAAGGCTTTATACATTTCATTTGCTCCGTAAGAGAAATGCTGAAGCACCATTTTAATGAAACCACTAAGAGTGAAGAAAGAAAACTTTATGAGACAGAGGAATCCTTTATTACTATAAAATATCTTTACAGTTATTAGATTTTTTTTTGGTGGCATCCTATAAGTCTATAAAAAGTCAGAAAAATTATACAATAAAGAAACTTTTGGCCAAGATAAGGAGAAGAATTCATTCATACTTAAAATTTATAAGGACTGTGGGTTCAAGCTGGTCGTCTACGAAGCTGGCCAACATTAAGGCTTTCAACACACTCCAAAGGCACTTTAATACAGGGCATTGAACAAGTGAGACGCCTTTCCTAGTTTAGTCAGGCACAATATTCTAGTAGTGGTCCTCAAGGGAGATGCTCTACACATACTGAAGAGTTCCACCTAATCCTTCTGCTCCAGGAGCTGCAGAGGACAAAACCCATATACAGTTTAGAATGCTTTCCAGTGGATTGATAGAAAATCTCCCGAAGAGAAACATTACTAAAAAGACCGAACAGAGGGCTTGGGAGACGGCTCATTTGGTAGAGTGTTTGCCGTGCAAACAGCAGGACCTGAGTTTGGATCCTCAACACCTACATAAAAAGCAGGCATGGCAGCACACGCCTTTAGTCCCGGCACTGGGGAGGTCGAGAGAGGAGAATCCCTGAGGCTTGCTGGCCCCTAACCTAGCTGAATAGGTGAGCTTCTAGTTGAGTGTGAGACCCTGTCTCAAGAAAATAAGGCAGACAGTGATTGAGGAAGACACCTGACATCAAACTATGGCCTCCACACACACGTGCATACACACAGGAAAAACCAAACAGAATACTTCATGAGGCTATTTCTTAGAACAGTAAAGAATCTGTGTCATAATCTATACAATTGCACCCTTAGATTTATACACACAGACACACACACAGACACACATACACACATTATCTCATCAGTCATTTATCTAATAGCTTATAAAACAGTGGTAAAAAGCTTGAAATGATGTTCTCAAAGTAAGTCCTATTAGTTTCAGATCTTTTAGCAACACTGAAGACATGGACTACCAGATGTATGAATGAATGGCTTTGGCCTTACTTTCACGTTAGCTAAGACATCATCACCCTGGTTCATCACAATCTTTTGAGGTAGTTAAACATTATACTCGGCACTAGGTATACAGTCCAGTGGAAAAAAACCTGTTTGGTAAATGCAAGGCTCTAGTTTTGATCCTCAGCATCAAAAAAAAATCAAATAATCAAATTTAGGCTTATTTCAGAAAGATCTTAATTTGGATTAATAAACAACAACAACGACCACATATACGAGGATCTATTCCATTAGAATATCCGACACTTTCCACATTAAGAAAAATAAGCACATAATATCATCTTACGGTGACTGTTACCTCTTGAGAATTGTTTCTGTAACATCTCTGGCATTGAAGTCAAAGGGTCTGTAACCTTCCCGCTTGAAGGCAAGCACCGCATTGGGCCCCAGCCAAATAGTGCCGTCCAGCTTTGGTGTGAAGTGAACCCCTAAGAAAGGAAAGCGGCTATCCGGGACCTGTGAAGCCAACACAGCCAACTGTTAGTCCCATCCGACATCCACTCTACTGCAGATACAGATGTCTAATGGGTAAGAGAAGACAGTTCCCTCTAGACATCTGGATGCACTGTGAGTCGTATTCAGACAGCCTTTTCTAGTACCAGGCTTTCTGGTTTAAAATGCTACTGACGTTAATATATGTTGTTCGACTTCTCCGTATTTCTGAGTAAAGGGGGGAAAAGATGAACTGTTCTAATTCGTATTATTTCATCTGGTTCAACCTAACATACTTGTGGGGACTTGTTCATCATTAGGGTAAACGCAAGCAGAAGAGTGAGCTTTTCATTTACCCCCCCCACCCCCCCACCCCCCACCCCCGCGACTTTTACCCCTGGAACTAGAGTGGGCACCTCTATACAAAGTGCACCGCTGTGAGTTGGATATTTCTTCTACTACAGAGCAGGCAGGACCTGGATTTCTTGTAGTACTTTGTGGTGATAGATTGTGTACCCTAATAAAATTTGCCTGAAGGTCAGCAGAGAACATAATAAGCCACTAGATTAAACATACAGGCCAGGCAATGGTGGCACACACCTTTAACCCCAGCACTTGAGGTCTCATGCCTTTGCTTGGGAGGTCACACACGTCTTTAAGCCCAGCACTAAGAAGGAAGTGACATGGTGGGCGGAGAAAAGTATATAAGGCATGAGGAGGAGACAGGAACTGAGCCTTTTCGGCTGGGGAAAGAAACTCTTTCAACTGAAGCCCTTGTGGCTGGAGTTCTTTCAGGCTGAGGTGCTGGTGAGGTCAGAGGTGGTGGCTGTGGCCGCTCTGATTCTTTAATTTTTCAGCTTTCACCCCAATATCAGGCTCCAGGTTTTTTATTAAAAGATCATTTTAGAAATTTGGTTTTTGTACTTCCATGGTGTGTCGTGCTTTCTGAGACGCGCACTGCCCGTGGGAGCAGAAAATGGCTTTAGGGATGCACCCAGCAGAGACAGATGAAGTGACCACCTACACAGCCCCCAAGCCCTCCCTTCTAACGCAGGGGGAAGCTTTCATTTTCACTTCCTTGATGCCCACAACCAGCTCCATAAGTAAGAAGACAGAAGCATCACTACCTACCGGATAAATATTTCCTTTTACAAGGTAGCCCTTTTCTGGCTTTAAGAGCAGGTAATCTCCCCGGAATGGGACAATTTGAGGATCAGGATTACAGCCACTCAACTCCGAAATACGGTCTGAGTAAAGTCCTGCACATGTCACAACATAGCGACACTGAACTTCCTCTCCCTGGTACAAAATAAAAGAGCATGGTTAGTTTCTAAATACAAGAAAGAAAATGTGGCACGGTATTTGTCTATCTGAGAACTTACTGCAAAAACAAAAACAAAACCCTCCAACTGAAGGGAGAATCAACAGAGGAGGAGATAAAGGGAGGCTGGGTTTAATTAACAAACTATACGCATGTATGGAAACAGCACACTGAATCCCATTATATAGTTGATTATGCTAATTAAGATACTTTTGTGGGGGAGCGTGAGGATGAGGGCAGTCTTAGTCTGTAGCCCTGGCTAACCTGGAACCTGACCAGGTGGCCTTGAACTCACAGAGATCCACCTGCCTCTGCTACCCAAGTGCTGGGATTAAAGGCGTGCACCATCGTACCCAGCTATACATGTTATTTTTGAAAAGGAATATGCTTGTATAAAGAAATAGATAGATCAAAAGGGGGAAGACAGATGTTAAAAAAATAAGGATAAATAAACTTTTTTTTTTCTAAAAGAAGAAATTCAATGTAACTATCAGCAAAACGGACCCTTCTTTTATAAAACTCACAAAAATGAATTTGAAGCTAGTTATCGTGGTAAATTCCTATAATTCCAGAACTTGGGAGGCTGAAACAGAAGTGAGTTCAAAGCCAGCCTGGACTACATCCCAAACACCAGACCAGCCAGGGCTACTGAGCAAGACCTTATCTCAGAAAATTTCTTTAAAACATTGACATCTGAAACGGAGTTAAGGTTTAAATGTAAAACCTACAGCTGCAGAATGTGAGAAAGCAGAGAAGATGCTCTTGATGCTGGCCTTGGCAATGATTTCTGGAGACAGCACCACTGGCACAGGTAAAAGAAGCAAAAATAACAACTGGACCACACCAGACTCAAAACTTCTGCCCAGGAAAGGAAAAGGTACTTGCAAGCCATACACCTGACAAGGGTCAGTTCCTAATATGTAAAAGGAACTCAAGAACTCAATGGCAAAAAAGCAAACTTCCCTTTGAGCCCTGAGCTGTCTGGAGGCTGGTCCTCCAGGTAGTGACCTAAAACTGGGGCAAAAACCTGAACAGACACCCTTTTCGAACATGTATAAATTACCGATAGTTAATGAGAAAGATGCTTGACACCACGAATCCACAAAGAACTGCAAGTCAAGACCCTGGGGTCCAGGCATGGTGGTGCACACCTTCAATCCTGGTGCTTGGAAGGCAGAGGCAGGAGGATCTGGTCTATACAGCAAGCTCCAGGATAGCCAGTACTATGAAGAGAGACCCAAACCAACCAAACAAACCCTTGAGATATCCTCTCACACCTCTTAGGAAATACATCATTTGTCTATATATTACTGATTATTTCTTTATCCTCATTCTCATGGGCTAATTTTGCTCCTCCAAAATTCTTAAGTTCGAGTTCTATCCCCATTAGAGAGACAATGAAGGTTAAATGAGGTCATAGGGCTATAAGCCTGATCCAAAAAGTTTGGTTATCTTTTCAAGAAGAGATACCTGAGATCAGACATGGGAGGATGAGCCATGGAGAACTGGGGATGCATCTCAGTAGAGGGGTGTTCACCTGGCACCTTAGAAGCCCTAGCCACTACTTCCAGGTACCTAGGTTCAACCTCTAGCATTCAAAAGCAGTAACACATGAAACCAGGAAGAAAGACCACACCAGAAATTAACCCTGACAGCACCTTGTTATTGGCCTTCTAGGTGCCAAAGTATGAGAAAATAACTGTTGTTTAAGTCACCCAGTCTGTGGCTTCTTCCCAGCAGCCTCTCTTAGTCTTCTGTTATCTAACACAGAGTTTCTCAATTTCAGCACTACTGCCATTTGAAGCAGTATACTTCTTTGTTTAGGGGGGCCTGTTTCCCTAAAGGATGTTTATCAGCATCCCTGACCTCTAACAGCAGCCATGACCCCTTCCTCCAGTTTTGACAACCAAAAACCTCCAGACACTGTCACTGTCCTCTAGGAAAAATAATTTCCAGTTGAGACTACCAATCTAATGTAAGATGTTTAATAATGATCACCCTTATATTTCATTACTTAAGGATCTAAAAGTAGAAATATAACTCATATTGAACTTCTCCCAAAGACAATGGTTTCAGTTTTTTTGTTTGTTTGGTTGATTTTTCGAGAGAATTTCTCTACATAGCCTGTGGGAGCCCGTTCTGGGGTTCCTCGTGGCTTTACCCAGCAGGTCCGAATAGAGGATGATCAGGACCACGGGCCTGAGTGCAGGTGTCTGAGATGCTCTGCACTTGGCTGTGCTGGGGGAGGAGGTCTTTTGCTCCACCCCTTGGCGTCTCTATAAAAACCCTGGGCCAGAGACAGTCCGGGCCCGTTGGAATAGGTTCTAGGCCCTCTTGAGGCTATCCTTTATTTTCTATCTGTTTATCTCCACAAGATTCTCCGCTATAAATCCTTCTATCTAATATTTCCTGCTGATCGCACTCAAGAAAACTCTGGGAAGCTGTGGGGGTGGTGGGTAAATGCCCCACAATAGCCCTGGCTGCCCTGGAACTAGCTCTATAGACCAAGCTGGCCTTGAACTCACAGAGATCCGTCTGTCTCTGCCTCCTGAGGACTGCCCTGCAAGACAATGGTTTCTTTAAATGATTTTTTAAATCTGTTTTGGAGAGTTAGCATGTCCCACTAACATAAGGAATAGTTACATCTTATTAGATGAAAACATTATTTTGCCACTGTCTTTATTTGCTGATTAAGTACAGTTTTAACAGAGGCCTGGGTCCCTCATCTGCTGGACACAGTGAGGGATGCTACAGAACTGCAGTGTCCACCTCAGCAACTGACTTCTCAGATTGCATAGAAAGCCTGGGACCCGCCAGCTTCCTTCTAACCTGGATATGCCCACAAGTGTCCAGGCTGAATTCTATACAACTCCTCTCCCACTTAGGAGTGACTCTGCTCTTCTCACTGACACTGAGGGACAGGGAATGTCCTGAGGCTCTTGCTTTGGACTATGTGAGAACGAAGGAAAGCAGTCATCTCCCTCTGCGCAAGCTATGTACTCCTCCCAAAGTCCCTAAATCAGTCGTTAGTAAGTCAATGCATAGCAATTGGCAGAATGATAAAGTATCTTCCCGCTTGGGCAGTGGTGGTGAAGACATGGCTCAGTCGTTAAGAGAACTGGCTGCTCTTGCAGAGGACCTGGGTTCGGTTCCCAGCACCCACATGGTGACTCTCAATGTTCTGTAACTCCAGTTCCAGGGATCCAATGCCCTCTTTTGGCCTCAGAGGGCACCAGGAACACACACACTGCACAGACACACATGCAGGCAAAACACTCACATGCATATAATAAGATATTTTTTTTTTAATTCTCAAAAGACAGGAAAGAGGGGAGACTAACTGGAAAGAGAAAGCTGAGTAACAAAGCAGTGCATCTGATCAAAATATTTCATATGTGTGCATAAAAGCACAATAATAAAGTCCGTTATTATATGCAATTAATATATGCTAATAAAAACATTTAAAAAACCCATACAGTGACTGGCTCCCAAGGAACCACAATTGAGGTTGTGTTCTGACTCTCACATGTATACACACACGTACATTTGCACACACATATATTTGTACACTCACATAAAAGAGACATACACAAAAACGTAGCAATCATTAAGTACAATTTTACAAGTAAATGAAAGTGAAAAACAGCTCAAGAATCTTTACCTTAGTATTCTTGACAGCAATTGGATAGTCCACCCCTGGCAGGGACAAAAAGAACTAGTGAAACTTTTGTTTGATCAAAAGAAAGCCGTCATCATTGGAAATATTATACCAGTAACAAATTTAAATGACTGTGCTAATTGTCTTCTAATTTTCATTCTGAAGCTTTTTTTTTTTTTTAACCAAGTAAGAAGACTAAAATCATTCATGTTTGACAAAACATAAAACTCTGGCATGTTTTAGGATGGCTTCTTTTAATTCATTAACTAATATGCATTCTAGCTTACCCTAGCCCAGACCCCTATTTCACTGAGCAACAATTCCATGCTCTGCATGTACAGCAGCACCATCATAATGAACTGAATGTAACCCACAAAACTAAAGCATGAGATAGTAAACACAAGACAGCCTTGTGTCCCAGTGTTGGTGACTGATTTCTTGCACTGGTTGTTCAGAGAAGCAAGGATTTTCATAACACAAAAATTCCAGTAATGAACTGACCATTTATCAAGTTTGTTCCCACTTACTGATGAGCTATTAACAGCCTATAAAGCATATGTACAGGAAAAAAAAAAGACGACAATCTGCCTATATTGTGAATTTGACTTATTCTGCTACCCACTTATAAAAATTTTATTTAATAAATTTGTTCATCGTGTTAGAGTGTAGAAAGACACTGGGTGAGTGATTCGTACAATCCAGATCTCCTTCAAACCCTGCTAAGGAAGAACCTGATTCTCCTTCAAATTTCCTTACAGCAAACAGAATGCTTACAAGCCTCTTGTTTTACTAAAAAAGAAAACTACTCATCTCAAAGTAAAACGAAACAAGCTGGAACTGCAGTCTAAGAGGGGAACAGGGGATCAGACTCAGAATGGCTGAGTCTTTTGATGATACTGGTCTGCTGCTGGAAATCTGGGTGTGTCTGAGATAGCCAGCCACTTAGTACTGCTAAGCCGGATCCCCGACAGTCTGACCGAGAAGTCTGTATGTACAGTAAGCACTGCAGAGAGGGGCCGACTCTGACCTTCGGGGAACCGTCTGGGGGCCAACTACACGTAACGGCCTTGGCTGGCAGACTTCAGTGCCAGTCAAATGTCTACTCGGTGCCTAGTTCTGTCAGCACCCAGACACCCAGGAACTGTGGGTCTGCTCTGTCCAATGGTACCCATCCCCTGCTGCACTCGCCTGACTCTGTGCCCTACCCTAGCCTGGCTCCTGGGAGTCTCCTACAGGCATCGCGCAGAGGGAAAAAAAACAATCCTTTTCTTTTTTAATTAATACAAGTATTCTGTGGAGAAGACGGGGATAACTTACCATCCTTACTTCTGGACGGGCTTTCTTTAGCTATTTCAATATCTTTTACCTCAAAACCTTTCAAGATAGAGCCACCTGCATCCTGGAAATCCTGGGCAAATGACAGAGCTACCTGTTTATAGTCCACAATGCCAGTGTACGGACAATCAATAGCCATTAGACCCTAGGACAAAAGTATAGAAACATCAAATAATAATACAGCCAAGAATCAGTAAAGTTAGTT